ATCTGTAGATATTTCTTCTTATTGTTATCATCATCATTATTATTATTATTACTGCTACTACTACTTAAGACTACACTAGAAGCAGTTCAGATCTAGAGAGCCATAGCCTCCATCAACACTGCATTCTTCTAAAAGCAGATTAGCTTAAGATGAGCAACAATCTCAGGCATAGCTAAATAGTATTAATCAAGTGTAGACCTGGTCCCATAGACAGATTATATAGAGTTCCAAACATCTAGAATTCTGCATCAACTATATAGTATTCTCGCGTACTAATCAACTATAACGCCGGCATCCTCTGCACTCTCTGCAGCATCACATTCCTGTGGTTTTGCAGTTGATGCAGCAGCACATTCCTGTGGTTTAAGAAGAATGTGCTGCTGCAAAATGTGCTGCTAACTTCAATGGAGTACATCTACATTGCAGTACTTACTCTACAAGGCTGAAGGTGAGGTTCAATACTCCAACCAGTAAAAGGCTTCTTTTGTGGAGCATCAAACTTTAATTCAATATATCCATTGCAATCTTTAAACGAAATAGAATATCTTGGTCAACTTCAGCTTGAGAGTGTCTCTTATCAATAAACTGTAAGCAACAAATATTATTAATGATTTATATAAAATTTACCTCAAGCAGTGCATTAAGATCTTTAGCAACAGTAAATGTCACCAAATCTTCAGCTTCTTTCTTCTCATAATAAACGAGTCCAACATATGTCATATTCTCTACAATACCAGTGGAAACTACTAATTTACCTATACACAAGTATTATTCACTGCAACTTCAAGTTGATGTGCTTACTATCAGTACAAGGTATTGGAGCTGTTGCTTCTTCATGATCCTTTGACTCTTCTACTCTTTGATTTTCTTGCTCTTCATTTCCTTCCTCATGTAATGGCTGACCTCCGGTCTCCCCCTCTTCCTCTACTCCCTCATTACTAGTAGACTCTCCTATATAGTGCAATAGATTCAGTTCATTATATACTAGTACACTCTCACTGACTCATTACTCACCTTGTCCTCCACTCCTACCTCCTGGTGGATCTTTAGTCTTATCAGAATCACTGGATGAATCACTATCACCATCTTCCACTTCCTCCTCAGTTTCCTCTTCTGCTTGTTCCTCTTGCTCCTCTTCCTCTGACTCGTCTCCATTAGTTGATGATTTGGGAAGACATTTCTCCCCAACAATAGCTACAAAACAGAACTCTTTACATTGAATGGATCCATACCAACTATCAGCTTTAAACTCTCCTCCGTTAACTATTGAGAATTGGTAAGGAAGACTGAATGTGCTCACGGGAGCTATGGCAAACTTGAGATGACGACTAAGAGCTGGTCGTCCTGTTAAATAAATGCAGTGCTGTATTTCTAATATGAGTCCTTTGAGGAGAGGCTTTGAGAGTGATACTGCATACACAGCACTCACAAGGACAGTATTGGGAGGAAACAGGAACTGTCCTCCTACAAGAGCAACCACTGCTGCTTCTACTGTCTCAGAGGACAGTAAGCTCTCCTTTTGTACTCCAATCCTTAGACCATA